ATGGACATATAAGGCAGTAGGTACAATTTGTAATAAACGAGTTGATACACCTTTATATATGCCACGCATTGCACTTGCCCCGTCAAAACATTGACCGACTATATTATTAATATCCAAATCGAGTTGTTTCAACCACGTAACTAATAATTTAAATAGAGCTTCACCAGTTGTACTTGATGCTCGCTGAAAGCCAATAAAACGTTCATATACATGAAATTGATCATCAGTATAACGTATAACTAAAGATACTTGTTCATGACGAGAAATATCAACTGATTCATCCATCATAATAGAAAAATATTTGGCGCTTTTAATTTGGAACACAATTTGAGATAATATATTTTCTTGAATTAAATATAATAATTCATTTTGAATCGAATGATGTGTATATTGCAAAGATTTTAATTTACTTTTAATGAAATCATTATCAAGACTTCTTAATTCAAGTAATTCAAGAAGATTACCTAAAACAGAAACAAGTCTGCAATCAGATGAAAAGAGTATAAATATGCAACAGTGAAATGTGACGTTTGATAAAACTTAAATGATTAACTTTTTCGGATAGATTTATTACCTTTATTTTCTGACTCTTCGTCTTTGGTGTTGTTGCTGTTGTTGTTGAGGAATTTTCATAGATTCCACTTTGATCATGAAGAATTAAACTTGTTGATGAGGATAATGGTGATGATGCATCAAGAAATTCAGTCAACACGATTGTTTCATTTATATTCACAATTTCTGAACTTGTTGTTGTACGTTGAGGTGTACTATTTGATTCTTGTACTAAATTATCTGGTTTTTTTAAGAAATAATATGATAATTTTCTTTTATCAGACATTTAACAAAGTATATATACAAATATATAACAACTATAAAATAAAAGATCGAATTGAATACAAAACAGTCAATGTTGAGAAGTCTCGTTTTATCATGATAGGAGCAAGAGAATATAGTTGTCATTTTGATCCAATCATATAATGCTCATCGATCACATATGCAGGGGCCGCGCGAAAGGTCTAAGATTGGGGAGGGGGGGTGTAGCGAGTTTTGAAAGGGTATAAAAATTTTTGGGGGGTGTAAAAGAATATTTAGAGCAAAATTTCTTAAAAAAAACACAAAATTTGTTCCAAATCTGCTCCCGTCGCTCAAAAAAAAACAAAAATTTTCAATTATTGGGGGGTGGGGGTACACCCCCCCCCCCCGCTCGCACGGCTCCTGCACATATGTGACAAAACAGATGTCGTATATATATGACAAAAATAGAGTACTTAAAAAGCAGTAAAAACAAGTCTGGTAATCTATGAATGTGCTTTTAACTACCATCTGAATATGAGACATTAGGGGTAGCAATAATTTTTTATTGCAACCCCTAATTTTTCATAGGGGTAGCAACTGCAACCCCTCGCATCACAGGCGCGCCGCCTATGCCCACACCCACCCACACCCACCCACACCCACACCCACACCCACACCCACCCACACCCACCCACACCCACACCCTTCAGTTTTGATACTATGTCTGTTATTGTTTCTAACTGTTCCATAGTGATGTCTATCATGGTCTGTGGTCGGAGCGATGTTGCTAAGATGTCTGTCATGTCTGTGGGAGGAGGGGGGATGTAGTGGGTGCAAATTTCTATCCTACATACTTCAATACTCCCTTTAGGTCGTGTTTCACAAAATGGTTTGGAAAACTACGTGGAAAGTACATTACCAAAAAATAAAACATTATTGTCAACGAACTCAGGAAAAAAGGAAAAATTCAGGTCAATGATGAGTTTCATATCAAATTTATTCAGTAAAGTTGTTGTGAAAAATAATCGAAATAATGTAGTGAATTTGATAATCGTAAAAATACACCATATTAATGTATAAGTATAAGAACAAATTAACAAATGAATAGGTGAGATCATTTGAATAAATGTTGTTACACATGATACACAACTCCTACTTAACAATTACATTCATTCGAAGGTAAGCATCATGTTTATTACTTGATAATCAAATTATTATTATTTTTTTTCTCTTGATCGATAGTGAATGAATGGCAAGATGAATTTAAAAAAGGCGCCCAATGAAAATGAAGAACTTCATAAAGTTAATGGTGTGAACTCAAAAATTTAGTTGATTTTTCAAAAAAGAATATTATAACTATACTGAGAACACAAATTTATTTATTCTCATTGCTCATTTATCTGATGTAAGCATTAGTCAACATATGAGATTTGTTTTTACGGTTCCTTTACGAAATGTTGATATCCTTATAGAAGAAGCTAAACAAAACTTAACATTAAACACGGATTTGAAACAACAGTTATTGAGTAATCAAAGTCCAATATTAGAAAAGTTTTTGCTTTTTTTATCGAAATACAAATTGGCTGAATATGAATTGAAAGATGTTTTAATGGAATTGGAAATGCAACATGCATTTGGTGATACAAAAGCAGATTTCGAAAGTATTATTGGGAAATAGAAATAATTCGTGCATTGTGAATAAATTTGATTTATATATATATCTATGTTTCTTGTTATTATTAGAACATTTCTCAATGTCAATCTGGGTTATCGATTAGAGAGCGATTGTGAAGTTTATCGTCTTCCAAATTATTGACTCTTTCTGTCAAAATTTTTCAGCTATATTTCTGGCTCTTTTTCTGGTAAAAAAGAATTTTTTCTGATCTTGCTACAAGAAACTATCAAGATTTCGAGAATAAGTTTCACAACAATCCCTTTCCGTAATGCAAGTGTGCTAGTTGATCAGCGGCGATGAAGAGAATACTCCGTTATATTGTTTTACTTCTGCGAAATAAGTCAGATAGTATTAAAAGATAGCGTTCTTTCTTTTCGTAGAAACCTTAAAATATGCTTTCCTATCAAATATTTTCGACAAAATGTAGTCTATGATAATGTTTGTTCTAGGTTTACGGCTCTATTTGTGTGTGTAGACTTCTTTACGAACTTTCCTTTATAATCTTGAAATACTAGTCATCATGAACAGCGTTGATGATGAGCAGTAGAAGAGTAACGATTGTTAACTAAAATGAAATGTCTTTTGATTTGTAGAAAATTTAAACACATTGGAAAACTTTTTTTTTTAAAAATATTTTTTGTTAAGTTGGGAGTTATAAAAAACTCTACTTTTTGCGGAATTTTTAGCTTCCCCTTTTTCTCGCAAACAATCTACAATTCTGGTATCAATGAACAACATGACACTCGCACCAGCACTACAACAAATAGGAATCGCTTTTCTTAAAAAAGTTAGGAAAGTAATAGAAACTTATTGTTTTCTCAAATTTATACATCTCATGTGTATAGTGTAGTAAAACTACATAATCTCACACACATAGATTCGATATTCCAAGCGTAAGAGTAGTTAATTTTAAAATGTTAGATAACCTTTTCCATAACTATCAAGATAATAAGACACTCATAAGCGAATGGAAGATAATGAGACAAACAAACAAAGTTTTTCGCGAAATTATTTTAAATAAATGTTTTTTCGAGATACAACGCATACAATAATTTCCAGCGTGCTCAATATGCTATCAGAGAATTAATGCAGAAGACTTTCAACTATGACGTTTTTCAGAAAATTAAATTCATATCGGTAGTTCATGTTGCACATAACCTTATGAACTTAGAAAATATTACTAAACAAATTTCAACTTTAATCATGAGCTTTGGATGATTTCATTCGACAGAATACTCTTTCATCTTGTAGTCTAATATAAAATATACATAGAGAACACTTCTTCACAAGTTATTATATTTATTCATTTCTGTTAGTGATGGCCATGATCAATAACATAGATGCTTTCTGTTTCTTTCTCTTCACGACTTTATCGCACAAGGGAACTCTCCAGGTGGTAAAAAGCGTTTGAGGCCAAATTGTGCCTACAGGTAGGTATGGTGTAGACTACAAAAAAAAATATAAAAGATTATGGGTCCAAATTGCGATTGGACTGAGATGCCGGCTTTCTACTACAATTTTCACAACAAGACATCGTTTGTCCAATAAAATCAAACTTGCAGGTCTACATTCGAAACCTTGATTTTATTGGAAAAGCGATGTCTTATTGTGAAAATTATAGTAAAAAATCGATGTTTCAGTCAAATCGCAATTTGAGCCCATATCCCTTTATATTTTTTTTTGTGGCCTATGCCATATCTACTTCTGGACGAAACTTGAGCTCAAAAGCTTCTTAGCAGCTGGAGAGGTTCCCTCATAAGATAAAGTGCGATAATCATTCATTCACTTCATATAATTCGTCCGTCCTTCTTTCTGTCAATACCTATTCTTCTCTCTTCTTCGTAAGCACATATATTCAACCATTTACCGAAGTTTTCACTGTCTAGATCTAGCAAGAAATCAGTAAAAAAATGGAGAATAGTAAAGAGAAATTTATACGATTAGGCCATTGATTGGTTGTTCTAGAAATTTATGCGAATTAGAGCTATGAATCGGGTCGAGTAGGTAAACTCAACAAGTTTCTCATCAAGCACATCAACTTCGATGTTCATCCTTTCTAGTTAGTTCGGTCTGTGTGTTGATCACATACATTGAATTGATAGTACAGAGGAACCGTCCAAACTGTATTGTATAAGCAAGGACTTGCCGAGTTTACCAACCTGACTCCTATAACATAAGTCTATAGAAAAATCAGGGATTGAAAAATTTATAATGGTTCTATAGTTTCATACTCTTCTGAAGAATATATTTGTTGTCATAGGAATATCAATAATCGAGCTACAGCCATTAACAGAAATTATTCTGATCTTTTTATCCTCAAAATAGCGATGAAAATTCTTATTAAAAAAGGTAAAGGATAATTCTTGAAATGTAGAATGAATGAGAGTCTCGACATTCAAAGAATCATTCTTTGCATTTTTTATTGACAATTTTTATCCCTTTTTTGAGAATAAAGTGAAACATTAGGATAATATCTATCAAAAATCCAAAACATTTCTTCAACAAAATAAATATTTCTATTGAAGAAGATATGATTTCGATAACAGTAATTCATTTACTTCTCCTTCTTGTGGCTTTCTCATCATTAACAGCTACAAATTTCGAACAATTTGGTCTCAAACTTTATTCAACTGTTAGTCAAAATAAGAAGAATGAAAATATATTTCTTTCACCAGCAAGTATTTCTCTTGCGATGTCAATGTGTACAGTTGGTGCTCAACAAGAAACGTTAAATCAAATGTTAAAAACCTTTGAAGTATCATCAAGAAAAGAATTAATAAAAACAGCTGAACAAATAATGCATATCTTTTCTATTGCTAATCAAGATAAACAAGTTCAACTTAAATTAGCTAATCGTCTTTATGCACAAAAAGCATATCAACTTCAAGAAGAATATTTAAAAATTGTTCAAAATTCATTTAAAGCAGATATTAAACTGGAAGATTTTGAAAATAAAGGTGCACAAGCTGTTCAAAGAATCAATACATGGGTTGAACAATAAACAAATAATTTAATTCGAAATTTACTTTCAATAAAAGATGTGTCACCTGAGACAAGATTAATAATTATTAATAGTATTTATTTTAAGGTAAATATTAATTTTAATGAAAGAAAAGTAACTTGTTTGTATTAATTGAATCATAGGGTACATGGATAAAAGAATTTAATAAAAATTTAACAAATGAAAATGCTGATTTTCATGAAACGAATGATAAAATTTCTAAAGTAGCATTAATGCATCAACGAGAGAAATTTGCTTATGCTGAGGATAACGATTTACATGTACAAATTATTCATGTACCATATAAAAGTGAAAATAAAGATATTGAATTTGTTTTTACGGTGATTTTACCCAATCGAGGAGTTCAATTAGATGTTGTGGAACAAAAATTAGCATCACAGCCTGATTCAATGCAAAAATTATTAAGTCATCAAAATACAAGAACAGAAGAACTTCATTTATATTTACCAAAATTTAAAATGGAAGCTACATTTGAATTAAGTGATATTCTTCAACAACTTGGAATGAAAGATGCATTCAGTAGTTATAAAGCAAATTTTACAGGTATCGTTAATGGAAAAAATAATAAAGATCGTTTATACATTAGCAAGGTAAATAATTTATTGATAAGATAATGTTAATCAGTGTAATATTTTAGGTTATTCACAAGGCGTTTATTGACGTAAACGAACAAGGTTAGTTTGTTTTTTTTTGAAAAGTAGCCTGTTTGATAAAGGCAAAGTATCTTAATTGTAAAGTTTCTGAAGGAACAAGAGTAATGATAGGATGAGAAAAATATGTTTGCAAGATAATGAATGTGGCAATTGAATTTAAACCTAATTGATCATTTTTGTTTTTCATTGGAGACAAAACAGTAAAATGTGGTATTATATTTCTTAACAGTTTTTCTTCGAGTCTTTCGTTGAAAAATCAAAAGCTACTAATATAAATGAGTATGAAACACACGGAAAATATTTTTCTTACAGAATTCTGAATGAGATGAAAAAATCGTCCCATGCAACAAACAGGTTTGTCCCATCGCATCTAATAAAAAAAGAATCTTTTTTAAGCCTTGAATCGGCTTATAAGACTTCCTTATTCAATTAACTTCGTTTTCCTCTATCAGTTCATGTTTAGATCACTTTATTTGACATTTATTTTTTTTTAATACTAATCACATAACATGCGATGCAAAAGTGTTTGCAAAAATCTCGAACTCTATTATACTATAATAGTTTTCTAGAACAAATCTTAGAAGGAAGAAAAATCAAAAAACAAACATCTCTAAAAAAAAGGGAGCTCTTGCAACGTTTCTGCAACTGTAAAAGTTTCTATTTCTCAATTACTTAGAGCTACATGGACCAAACTCCAACAAAAAATACACCAAAATATAGCACATCAAAAACTCTATTGATATCAGCTTTAGAAGTTTTTTTTAATCCGTTCATGATCTTTCGAATCAAAAAAAATTGGAATTTGAAATTTTTGTAAAACGAAGTCTTTTGCAAGAACTATCAGGTGGGAAGGACATTAGGCACAATCTTTAGAAATCATATATAAAGTGAATTCTTTCATTTCACTTCTGATACAAAAAGAAATTAACAGAAAATAGAAAATGATGTTGCACAATGATTAAATTTTGAGAACATTTTTAGAGATGTTTACTTTTTGGGTTTTCCTCCTTCTGAAATTCGTTATAGAAAAATGTATCTGCTACGAAACTTGTAGTTGACACGTTGCTCTTTCCAACAAAAAAAAAATGAATTGGTGTAGAAGCAAAGATTTTTGCATCGCATGTTATATCCTACTGCTTTCGCCAAGACGGAAATTACAAATCTAGGGTATTAGGATGTTGGTAAACCACAATGAATATTATAGTGAATTCAATAGTATTCATCAAAACTAGCTATCTGCCAATTACTTCTCTTGAAACTAAAACTTATAAAAAACTGTTGAAAAGTGATATGAACTTAAAATTCTTATAATCATGTCTTTTTATCTACATAATCAATATTTATGGAGGAGTGCGATAAAAAATAAAAATTAGTGTAAGGCACATAGAATTTCACAAAAATAATTGTAGATTACATTGTGTAAACTTCTGACGAAAGCTTTAAAATTTTTTCATCAAAAATAGCAGAAGAAATCAGCAATAAACCTATTTATGTTGAAAAATAAGATAAACAATGAGGATATTATAATGAATTCTACTATTCAGAACTCCTATAAAGTGCCCTATTGAAACATATTTCAACAGAAAAAAAACCTTGGATTGTTTCATGAGAACAAAAGACGACAATTCCATGGGAAGGGATGGAATTGGATAGGATCGTTCCATCCCATTCAAAGCTCTGTTTTCTTATCTATGATTCGAATGACATCTTAATTAATGTTGATAGCTGTCATTCGATTGCTTCAACTTATTGATATCTTAAAAAAGGAATATTTTTTAGTTTTTATTCTTTTTGGCAAAGGACTAAAAGCAATAGCTGCCTGCTGTAGAGCTTACGAACACACATCGAAAAGCATCAAAAATCGAATTCGTTGAATTTGACAATGACCATCTGTTTTTGTTTTCTATTCGAACAATTAAAAAACCTCGCGCTATTAATTGGAAAGTTTCTTAGATCTACAAGTTTATCGTGTTAATATGTGCTTCAATATTTGCGTATGCACAATTCACTCAGAACTTAATCAAAAAATTTCTCGGTAATAAACTACATCTTTCTGATACGTTACAGTACAAAGATTGAATATGTTTCCACTAAATCTTTGATATCCGTTTGAAGACATGTTTAGCAATTCACAGATTTTCCTTTATCTTTTTTTTATTATTTCATTTAGGATCAGAAGCAGCAGCAGCTACAGCCGTTATCATCGGTATTTATGCATCAATCAATCCACCACCACAACCCATTGAATTTAAAGCTGACCGTCCATTTCTATTCTTCATTCGTGAAAGTCGACAAAATATTGTCTTATTTAGTGGCAGATTTATTTCACCACCGACAAACTCATAAATGAATTATTTCAAAACGCTTACATTTCATATTCGTGCATCTTTTATTTCTCATCAAAATAATATAATAAATATTGGTTAACTTTTATTTTATTATTTGCTTCTGAAAAACTTTAAAAGACTTATTGTGAAAATTCATAAAGAAAGTTATAATATTAATATGGAAACTCTTTCAACTTTTAGCAACGAACATAGAAGTGTACATTAACATCGAAATACTTAGGGCATATCAAAAGTAGTGGCGGAGTCCCGGAAAAATCTTATAAAAAGTTTTAAGAAATTTCCTTTTATACATAGTGATAGAGAAAAAAGTTCTGCCATTCTTTGCTATTTGATCAATATTTATCTAATATTATACTAATAAAATTCCCATCATACTTGTTTGGCTAGAACATTTCCCCATAATATTATCCCATATTGTCTTCGATATGTGTTTTCGTCTTGATGTTTCTTTTTGTTCTGTTCCTATCTTTTCTTTATTCTTTTTTCTTATCTATTTTAATGCACAACAATCTATACATAACGATAGAAAACCAATTGGTGATAGAACAAAAAAAAATACAGAAACCAGGTCAAAGAGTTTTCATTTCATCAAATGTTCAAAATAATTTCCTTCATTGCCCACACACAAACGCATTCGCTGAATCCATTTATCAAACGTTTTTCTATACTCTTCTTTATCTAGAGAATTCATGAACTTGGTTACGGGATCACATAATGATTCAATATCATTTTGATTGCCTATATTGTGTTTGACAAATTTGAATAACCATAAATCATATGGTGCCAAATCTGGCGAATTGGATGGATCTGGTATTATTGTAACATCTTCTGATGTAAGGTAATCGGACACAGCTTTGTGGATGTGAGGTTTGCCATTCTCATGAAGAATTTTAAGTGAACGTGTACTTGATAAAGGTCTCCGCTTCTTGATTTCATCAATAATGGGTTGTAAGCAATTTTCAATATAAATTTCATGATCAATAATTTGTCCAGATTCAACATTATGGATTAAGACAGAACCGGCTGACTTTAAAATGATACAAACTAACGTTTTTCGAGCATAATAATTTCGTCGGGTCCCTATAGGATCCCCGTCACCACATCGTATAAACGCCATGTATCTTTTTCGAAATTCTCTTTGTATATTTGGACTCTTCCAGCTGGTTGAGTAGCAGTCAGATTTTTCGGTATATAACATGCAGTAATTTTCTTAAAGCTTAGGTGTTCGGAAATGATTCGCTGAATGATACTATGGCTTAGGTCACTTTGTATTTGTATTTCTCCTATTGTAACATAAGGATTACCCTGCGGGGTGGCTGGTTTAGATGAACTATATATCCATATCTAAACCCACCCACACTCTCTCACCCACATCCGCTCTCTCATCCTGCGCGTTAAAGTTGTGCGCGTAAGTGTCGGCGCACAAGTGTCGTGTAGTCGGACGCTATATCGAATTGAATTGACTTTATTTTTATTTTTAGAAAGCGCAATGTTTGAAAAAAATTCGAGGAATTGTTGGTAGTTAACTAAGTATATATGTGCTATTGCAATTAATATTGTGTATTATTTTCCCATTTGGCAAAATTCTCATTGATATCTTTGTGCCATGCATCGAGTAATCGACTCTTAATATTCTTTCCAACCAGAAAAGCGACTTCAGCTCCTTGTCGATCTCGCTTAATCCAATTCGTTCCATTGTGTATCGGATTTGGGCGAAACACACGAAGATAAAATGGACCCGCTCCTGTGGTATAAAAACGACACTTATCTGTATGACCAAAATCAACAAGATCAGCCCAATCATATTTTAAATTCGAATTGATGATAATTTCATTGGGATATTGTTTAAATCGACATTGCAAATTTTCACGAGCTATTTTTCTCATTAAACCATCGATGGTAGCTAAATAGGGCTCGAGAAATGTTCTCTCACGTGCTCGATTAATTGAACGACGAATTGTCATTGCAATGTTTGGCAACGATTGTAAATTATCGAAGTCATCGGACAACATGAGAAAAACAGAATTGGCTACGTGACCAGGCGGTGCAATCGAATCGGAAATGCCACGAAAATTGATGATGTTACCTGCGTGTGTAATCCGCTGCTCATCGTGATCAAAGCAGTGCGTATTGAGTAAGATTATGATATAGGCACTGAGTGCATCCTGAATAGTTACACTCGCTTCGCCAGCTAGTTTATGCAATCGAACAAGTTGTTCACCTGAAAAATGTAGATTGACTTGTTCATAGGCTTCTAGATAGGACATAAAACTATTTTCTATTTGTTCTTTCGGTTGTGCATCTCGAAGTACTTTCATTTTGGGCAAATAGGATTGATCTGCTTCATTCTCGTGCCACAGTCGTCGCTCGAACACTGGATCTGGTTTTGATGGTTCTAATTGTTGATAGAGTCGTGAAATGGTATTCAGAAAGCGTAAACAAGACTCGGCATCGCCCAACACATGATTCCAACTGATGCCCATTATAAACTCATCGCTGTGCACAATGCGAGTGAGTTTCATATGAAAGAGTGGCTCATGCGATGTACCATCCAGCAAATTTTCACTTTGTATTTGACTGAGATATGGCTCAAGTGATGTTTGACTATTGTCAATAACCACAGTTGAATCAAGTGGCCATTGCTGCAGATCAGTGTTATCGACGAATGATACTGGAATAGACTGATCGGACATTTCGATGAAATAACGATCATTCTCAAGTAAGACTAGATGACCGGCAATGAGAGGCCATAGAGAGAGAGATTGACTGAGAGCCTCTTTCAACTGATCGATATTCAAATCGGACGGATAAACAAATATGAGGTTGATAGATGCGCCAAGCCATAGATCGATACCGGCCAGTTCAATTCGACGATTGTTACCCGTCGGTGTTGATGGTGGAACGAACCAAGTTATCATCACAATGATATTGGATGTATAGTCTAATAAGAAACTCCAACGAGTAGAGTAAAAATATCTAAAGTAACACAGAAATGATATGAAGGTCGGTGTGTGTGAAAATGTAACATATGTATGTCTTTATCAGTTCTGTAATTTCGCAAGCAACAGAATAATTGATGCAATCTTACTGGTGCAAACACAACGAAGAGGAGGCCCTTAAACGATCATACTGACCAGTGCAGAGATCAAAAAATAAGGATTGGCGTACGGATCTTTGTCTTTGTCAACGACATTATCGGCAGGCTGAAATCCAGAACCTATATTCTTCATCTAATTCTCTGGGATGGGTGTCGGTATGAATGCGAGTGTGCTGAAGGTGTGAGTGTGGATGTGGATGAAAAACTGAATCGCTGCCACACATCCACACCCACCATTTAACCGCATCCAACGTATTTGTAAGTTCTATTTCAGCTCAGATGTTCAGTGCAGCATACGACACTTGAAAGAGTGTAGTTTTTTTGTCGTATCTTTTTCTTTTCTTCTTCTTTTATATTTATGTATTCTTTCCGTTGTTTCGGTCTGCTCTTCAGGTCAAGCTGAAATTCATAAAGCGATCTGCAGGTCAAACTAGGTCGATTGGCGCTTTTGACCGAAAAGTGACAAGCGTGGGTGGGTATAGATATAGATATTAATCTTCTCCATACCTCACCTGACCTATATCCAAACCCACACCCCCACATCCTAATCAGAGTGTGGGTCTTCTTCTTTTTAGTCACATTCGGACCCACATCCATCTACACCCAAAAATCTTTGAATGACATACATAAATCTGTCTTTCAACTAATTGTTTCAGAGGCACAATTATTAAAAACATTTGTTTTTTTTTTATTTCATAATCATTATTGACATCAAATAACACAAAAATAATTAGAATCATGTGCTTATGATCCTCCAGTATGATGTCGTTTTCATGCAATATGTTAAGTTTCTTGTACATCAATTACAGAAGAATCGGGGACCTCAAAATTTCATTAAATTTTTTTAAGTTGAATAAATGTTCTCCAATATTGTTTGATCAATTACTGCTGATCTGCATGCAAGGTACAGTGTTACCAATTAAGTACTTTATAGTTATTAAAAAATTCTTTATCTCAATTATTTTTATAATATAAATCACTATTAAATTTTCCTAAAGCAGCATATGTTCTTTTAATGATGCTGTTTCTTGTACTAGAAGTATTTGTGAAAGTCTTAAAAGAATTCCTTTTCTTTGATCCTTTCAGTTCTCTTCGAATTGATAAAAAATTAATGTAATCGTTTTTATTTTATTGACCTGAATAGATAAATAACATTGGCACAAAAACGATCTTTTATGGAAGTGGTTCTTAAATCAAGGAGAGCGGCAATTTCAAACGTTAGAAAAACTTCCAGCTGTTTTCCATGACTTTGTTAGAGTATAAAACTCACGAAGTTTATGTTTTCCGTATGTATTAACATTTAAAAGCGAAATTGTTTTTGAATAAAAAATTTAATTATTTTAATTGTGAATAAAATATTTATTATCTTTCAGAATAAAGATTTTCTGAAATAATAATTGTAGCTAAGTGGAATAGGCGTTCAATATAATATCATAAACAGACAATGATAAAAACTATCGTCATAGTTTTCAATGTTGGCAGAAAAATGAAAAAGAAAATTCGAAACATTTGCTAATTAATTTTGGAACTATCCAAAAGATGTAATTGTATATTAACAATTATTTTCTATTAAGCAAACCTTTGATATATCACGTGCTCATGTCTTTCACTGAGAGTATCGATTTTATAGATGATTGTTTAAAGTATTAATATATATTTATATGCATATTAAAATAATAGATAGTCATATTTTAATAAAAATTCAATCCTTAATGCGAGAGCTAAATATTGAAAAAGCTATAGCAATTAGGTTCAATTAGTTCAAAGATAATATAGAATACAAAATTCAAGTTTTCGACTAAAACTCAAATCTCAATCAACTGATTTCTCAGGTTTTTTTGGATATTTTTTAAGAAACAAGAAGAAATAACTCTACTTTACTTTGATAATTATTTGTTTTG